TTTTCTCAAGACGGGCTTTCACCATATTGGTCAGGCTGGTCTCAAACTACTAACCTCAGGTGATCCGCCCGCCTCAGCGTCCCAAAGTGCTGGGATTATAGGCGTGAGCCACTGCGCCCGGCAACAGTTCATTTTTCAATTTCATATTTAATTTTTGTGCCAGTTTACTTTTCTCAAACTTGCCCCATTCTCTCCAATCCTCCTAATTACTCCCATACCCCTGCTCTCTTAGCTCAACTGGACGCATGCAGAAGCTAAGTGCAGAGTCAAATGAGGAAGAACAGGCGGAGAAGGTACAGGAAGGAGGGACCAAGGAAGGAGAGGTGGGGATGGAGGAAGGGTTGGGGAGATAAAAGAAAAGACAGAGTTACTTACGCTTTCTTCCCAGGCTCAGGTGGCCCTCCAGTTGTCGAATCTGTTTCTGTAACTCAGGCCTGGCTCCATGCCTCTGCAGCGCGTGGCCAAGAAGAGAGCAAGCATACTGGGCGGCCCTAGAGGAGAGGGCAGGCAAGGTAAGGTGGAGACCTCCCTAACCTATTCCGCTCAAAACTATCCTCCGAAAGGCAAAGACAGTCTTCCCCCTTTTCCAGCGTGAGACCACTCTCTTTCCTCCTCCATGCCCATATCTCGCCATTTCTCCAGGCCAGGGGAAGGGAAAGGGATAAGGAGAAAAAAAGAGCCTAGAAAGGGGTGAGGAGCACTATTGAATGCTGAGGAAATAAGAAATTTGACAATGATGAGGCCTGAGGGGCCAGTGAAGGCCGCAGGGGTCCGTCACAAGCACATCGGCGTGAGCCTGTACGTGATCGGTGAAGGGGAGGCAGACAGCTGGAGGGCATTTTATTCATCAGAATAGGTGAACTAAGAGATTTCAAGGCGCTCTAGCTGAATGGAGACCAAACGCCAGAGCGGAGGCAGAGGAGTTCCCGAATGACAGCACCGTGAGGGGACTTGGAAACTGGGAGTGCTTTCTCAGCTCTGGGGGTAGAGTCCAGAGCGAATGCTCCTCACTCCATCACCGCCCAGTGAGGACGCTGTCGGTCTTATGTGGACACCGCAACCCTGAGCTGCCTCCCCGCTGGCCCACTCATGCCTCAGTTTCCCCATCTCTTCCGCGAGCGGAAAAGAATCATCTCCTCAAGAGCGGCTCAAATCTGCGCCTCATGCGGTCCGTTCCGGCCCCCGTAGCCAGCGTTGACCCTTCTTGACCCCCCGTAGCCTGAACTGACCTCGCCTCACCAGAGTCTTCCTCTGCCCGTCCCTCCCCCATCCCCATTCCTATTCGGGCCGCACCTACACAGCCGCTCCCGGGCTTGGCTCTGAGCACTGAAGCGGACCCAGGCGTCCATGACAGCGGCAGCCCCGGCTCGGCGGCCCCGCTCCCGCCCCACTTCCCGCCCCTAGTCACGCCTCCTGCGCGACCCAACGGTGCCTCGCGAGGGACAAACAACATCAGAAAAGAAAGTGAGTGGAGCCGGCCCTTAAAGCAGAATTTCAGGACTCGAAACGCCTGTCTTTGAGCCTGTCTGCGCGTTACTGTGCCTGTCTCTGTCAGTGCGTCCCCTTATGAGACGACCTCTACTCCCTAAGCACGCCTCCAGCGGCACATTCTTATTTAAATATTCCGCACAAAGGGCGGGGCCTGCAGGGGGCGGGGCGGGGGCGTGCATGGGAGGGGCGGGGCGTGCAGGGGGCGGGGCGGGGCGTGCAGGGGGCGGGGCGGGGCGTGCAGGGGGCGGGGGGGGCGTGCAGGGGGCGGGGCGGGGCGAGAAAGCGCCGCAGTGATGTCCTCGCATAGGAGGCTGGGATAGGTGTGCTCCCGGCGGAACACCCTAAACACACTTGCACGCAGGCTCCAGCAGAATCCAGGGCTACAGGGACTAAAGAGGTCTAGGGCAGTAGAGGCCCGAAGCCCAGGCTGGTCTGTCCGAGGGAAAAGAAGAAAAAACGAAGCTTGGTACCAGATCTTCGTTCCCTGCAGGACCCTGAGAGTTGGACAAGTGACCTCCTCCAGAACATACGGAGAGTCTCCAGAAGCAGAGGCTTTAGGGAAGAAATTCGCAATAATCAGCTCAAGATCCTGAAAAGGAGGGCGAAGAATCAGTGGCCAAAGCTAACCGTTCCATACTCACACTTATCCTCCTATCTCCAGGCCACCATGTCTGCAGTAAACGGCACCCCTTGGGGGTCAGCAGCGGGGGAGGAGGTCTGGGCAGGATCAGGAGTGGAGGTGGAGGGCTCAGAGCTGCCCACCTTCTCGGCAGCAGCCAAGGTCCGAGTGGGAGTGACCATTGTGCTGTTTGTTTCTTCGGCTGGAGGGAACCTGGCCGTCCTGTGGTCAGTGACACGGCCGCAACCCAGCCAGCTCCGTCCCTCTCCGGTCAGGAGACTCTTCGCCCATTTAGCAGCCGCCGACTTACTAGTCACTTTTGTGGTTATGCCCCTAGATGCCACCTGGAATATCACTGTTCAGTGGCTGGCCGGGGACATCGCATGTCGGACACTCATGTTCCTGAAACTAATGGCCATGTATGCTGCAGCTTTCCTGCCTGTGGTCATTGGACTGGATCACCAGGCAGCAGTACTCAATCCGCTTGGATCCCGCTCAGGTGTCAGGAAACTTCTGGGGGCAGCTTGGGGACTTAGTTTCCTGCTTGCCTTGCCCCAGGTGAGTGACCTGGGACTCAGGACCGGGGAGGACAGGAATTTGGGTCCATAGCATGAGTCAAAGGATGTGCTTGGGGGCCATCAGCCGTTAATCCTCAGGGAGAAAGCCTCTGCTCTCTTCCGGAAGATTATTTGCATGTTAATTTACATCTGTTAAGGGGCTGCCTTTTAAAAGCAGTATCCTACATCTGTGCCTCTTCCATTAGATCTGTTTTACTACACTTGGCTTCTACCTCTTTGCATCCACCCAATCTCACCTCCTTCAGATTGGGGCATAACATACTTGGGGGTCTATTAAGAGAGTGAAGTCAGTAGTTTGGGTGAAACTCTGTGGTACATTCATTTATCCATTCAAAATATAATGTGCATCTCCAGGGCCACTCAAATGCTAAGGATAGAGCAGCAAAATCCTGCTTTCAAGAAATGTATAGACTAGTGCAAGAAACAAATAAATTAAGCAATGACAATACAGTGTGTATTCGAAAGTGTATGGTAAAGGAGCTAAAGACAACGGTGGGGAGAGGGTGTCTGATGCAGCCATGCAGTCAGGGAAAGTTTTCCAGAGATGTTAAAATTTGATTCTTCAGAGACAGGTATTAAACCAATTAATATAGGAGAAATGCTAGGGAGGATGGAGGATAAAGGATCTCAATGCTGCTAAAGCTGAGGACTAGAAAATGGTGAGTAATGAGCTGAGAGGGGAAGACGAGCTGGATCACAAATATTAAAATTGTACTTTATCCTGAGTGGACAGACACTACAGTAAAAAGAGTGACATAACCAAATTTGTGTTTTTTACTCTGACTTTATTGTGGAATGAGTGTTAAAATTGGAAACAAGTGAGCTTCTGAACCTGAGTACTAGATTAATCAAATAAATCAAATACTGAAAAGGAACTAGAAATCTGGGAGGGGGGGGCGGTGGGGAAAAGCTAAACACAATTCCTCCAAAACAAAAACCACTATCACTATCAAGGGGTGGGTGTACAGGATATAGCAGCAAGTCTGAGACTGTAGGATTAGAATTATGTCTAGGAGGCCAAGAAGGGTCTAGGCTTTGTCTCTGGAATGATAATCCATTATACTTATTCAAGATTTGACTCTTATTTATCTCCTCCAATTATTAGAGATATAACTACTAGAAGTTAGTCTGACTATACTTCTAAGAACAAAGAAAGGCCCGGGTGGCTCAAGCCTGTAACCCCAGCATTTTGGAAGGCCAAGGCGGGCAGATCACCTGAAGTCAGGAGTTTGAGACCAACCTGACCAATGTGGTGAAACCCCTTCTCTACTAAAGATATAAAAATTAGCCCGGTGTGATGGCAAGCGCCTATAATCCAAACTACTCTGGAGGCTGAGGCATAAGAATTGTTTGAGCCTGGGAGGCAGAAGCTGGAGTAAGCCAAGACTGTACCACTGCACTCTGGCGTGACAGAGCCAGAATCTGTTGGGGGGCGGGGGAAAGAACAGAGAAAAATACCACTCATATGTTGCAAACAGGACCTCTACCAATCCGAGTGTTAAAAAGAAGCCTGTCGCTGTGGTGCCATTTACAATTAGGTTTGTTTATGTGAAGCAAATATTAGATGGGGATTGAAAATGTGTTTCAGTTTGCCTGTTTTGCTTTGTTCTTTGTTGTTGTTGCTGTTGTTTTTCCTGACTCTGGGCTCTACTGCTAACTAGCTATGATTTTGACTAAGCCACTTGAAATCCATGGGCCACAAGATGATGCAATGGGAAATGAATTTCATCCTTTCTTACAGCCTTAAAATCAACAATAATTGTCATCTGTTTGTTTCAATGGCAAATTGGCCGTGACATGTATGATAACATGTGCAAAAGGTGATATTTTTTGGTTCCAAATTAGTATTCTTTTGGGTAAATTCTGCATTGCCTATATGCTGTTAATTGTAGTTAAAGTATTAGTGTCAATAAAATAAAAAATGTAATAATGTTATGTTAGTGTAGTGAGGGGGTATTAGGGATAGTTAGAAATTACTTATTTTGTAGGCTTAAGTTTCCAAGTTATCAGCAGTTGAAAGGAATGTTTCAGCAGTACATGATAAATGGCAATAAAATAGGAGAAAGGAAAGATCAAAGCAAGGTTGTGGACCAAACTGTAAACCCAAGAGCTTTGATTATTTTTATCTCCTCACCATTTTCAAGTACTTCTTAGGCATAGCACAAAAACAGAAAACAAAACAACAATTTAGAAATATATGAATGCAAGAGATGGGAAGAGGAAAGACCATTTCCCAACTAGTTCAGAGTAGCCTGATCATAACTCCAAACAGTTCACAAAATTCTGTCTTAGGATCAAACTATTCACCTTTCCTAAATGTCCCTCATGCCTGTTAAAATCACTTTCCCAAATGCCTTGTATCTAGGAATCTGACACCTACTGAGCTTACCTGTAATCAAGTTAACAGTGACTCAATCTGCATTACTGGAACCCAGACACTTGAATCTCATAGCTCTAAACTGAAATCGTTTTTACCGATTCAATTGGAAAACCCAGTAATTTAACAGAACCGGGGCGGGGGGGTGCAGCCAATAGCATTTGGAAAATGTTGTATTTTATTATTTAACGTTATTTCACCATTATAGTTACTGCAGATAAGACTATTACTACTGCTGGGCATGGTGGCTCACGCCCGTAATCCTAGCACTTTCGGAGGCCGAGGTGGGTGGATCACCTGAGGTCAGGCGTTCAAGACCAGTCTGGCCATCATGGTGAAACCCCATCTTAAAAAAAAAAAAAAGACTATTACTACTAAAGGTCACTTCAGAGTAGCTGCAAAATGGCCTGGAGTTTTGGCAGCACCCATTTTACACGATATTTCTTTTCCCACAAAATAGACATATCAGAAAAATCATTTCATCTAAAAATATGAGTAAGGTGGTAGTAATATCATCCCTTATAAATTACAATGTTAGAATAATACGTGAGAAGGCGGTATTGTTTTAAGTTCTAAGATTTAACAAACTTACTGCTCAGCATCATATTCGAGCCTGCGGAAGATAGGCACTTTCAAGATACATTTCCAACCTCTTTAAGGTGGCACCATGGATGAACTGTTTCTCAGCACTGTGCTGCTTCACTTGGAATTAAGGATGAATTGGGAGGAGATAGTATGACATAGGTGGGTAGGTTGGGTGATGAGGGGAACCGGTTCTCATAGTCCTCAACTCCCCTCCAGCTGTTCCTGTTCCATACCGTCCACCGAGCTGGTCCAGTTCCCTTCACTGTGTGCCACCAAAGGCAGCTTCAAGGCTCGACGGCAAGAGACCACCTATAACCTCTTCACTTTCTGCTGCCTCTTTCTGCTGCCACTGACTGCCATGGCCATCTGCTATAGCCGAATTGTGCTCAGTGTGTCCAGCCCCAAGACAAGGAAGGGGAGCCATGGTGAGAATCCCAATTTCCAGGCCTCAATCCTTACCACTAGACCTGTTGCCTCTTGTCTACCCACCTAATAGCTAGCTACCAGTCACTAAACCAAAGTGAGATCTTCACCGTGTCTAGTGCCTGATGCTGGGGATGATTTTGTTGAACCCCTTCAATTATAAATAGCTAAGCTGAGTTAGCTGGACAAGTACTAGGGAGGCACTGAATATTATTATTATTATTATTATTTTTTGAGGTGGTTTTGCTCTTGTTAACCCAGACTGGAGTGCAATGGCGCTATCTTGGCTTACCACCGCAACCTCTGCCTCCTGGGTTCAAGCAATTCTCCTGTCTCAACCTCCCGAGTAGCTGGGACTACAGGCACGCACCACCATGCCCAGCTAATTTTTGTATTTTTAGTAGAGACGGGGTTTCGCCATGTTGACTGGGATAGTCTCAATTTCTCGACCTCGTGATCTACCCGCCTCGGCCTCCCAAAATGCTGGGATTATAGGCGTGAGCCACTGTGACAGGCCTATTTATTCTTGCACACAATCAAATCTTAAAGTAGACTTGGTGGCTTCACATTTCTATCATAATCCCTGGGGGTAAGAGATCACAGAGTCCCAGGTTGGGAAGAGGAAGAGGATTTGCAGCATCCTCCTCCTTGTAGGGTGCAAGCTGTCTTCACCAGTTATGCCCCTCCATCAATTCACCCTATACTCGGTTCAGAAACTGAGTGTCTAAATTACAGAATATTTTCTAAATTCCTAGCCCCTGCTGGTGAATTTGCCCTCCGCCGCTCCTTTGACAATCGTCCCCGTGTTCGTCTCCGGGCGCTGAGACTGGCCCTGCTTGTCTTGCTGACCTTCATCCTCTGCTGAACGCCTTATTACCTACTAGGTCTGTGGTACTGGTTCTCCCCGAGCATGCTAACTGAAGTCCCTCCCAGCCTCAGCCACATCCTTTTCCTCTTTGGCCTCCTCAATGCTCCTTTGGATCCTCTCCTCTATGGGGCCTTCACCCTTGGCTGCCGCAGAGGGCACCAAGAACTTAGTATGGACTCTTCTAGGGAAGAAGGGTCTAGGAGAATGCTCCAACAGGAGATTCAAGCCCTTGGACAAATGGAAGTACAAAAAACTGTGACATCAAGAAAGGCAGGAGAAACAAAAGACGTTTCTATAACATCTATCTGATCCTAACACAGTACATAGAAACAGAATAATAATTCTTCAATACCATAAGATCATAACATCTCAATTTCCTGCTCTCCTAATTCCCCCCAAAAAGAAATAATGAGCAGTGTCTCCACTTTAAACCCTGCCTGACCTTGAGACTATGTCTAATACAGAAACACACAACTAGCCTGGACAACACAGCAAGACCCCATCTCTACAGAAATATTAAAAGTTTAGCCAGGCATGGTGGCATGTGCCTGTAACCCCAGCTACTTGGGAGGGTGAGGCAGAAGGATGGCTTGAGCCCAGGAATTTGAAGCTTCACTGAGCTATGATCATGCAGCTGCCCTCCAGCCTGGACAACACAGCAAGACTCTACCTCAAAAAAAGAAAAAAAAAAAAAGAAACACATACAGTTCAGTCCCTAGAAGTATCTTCACAATGGTCCATACTGCCTTACTATGCTTTACAACTTTTAATTTTAGGACAGGAAAATAACATTAAATATAGAAAACAAAAATTGAACATTTATTCGCCACTCAAAAGAAATACTATGCATATAGGGGAAGAGATTAAATATAAACACAGCAAGTTCCACCCCAGTCCTGTTTGTCCAAGGCTGCATGGTCAAATGGAATCTTGAAGAGAACAGCTGGACAACAGACGACCTGTCAGCGACGTCTCCGGTCTGGACTTCTGCTGCGTCTTCGGCCACCTCTAGGGAAAAAAGCAGCAGGGAGAAAAGTCCATTAGAGGGACATAATACTACGCCCTCATTCTGTTTCATTTGTATTCCCTTCACCCAAACAGTGTTTGCCCTCTTCATTTTACCTCCTCTTGCCTTTTGGTGGACCCCGAACAAAACACCAGTCAACGCTGATTGGCTGTCCCATCAAATCTTGGCCATTGAGTCCCTCCATAGCAGCCTGGGCCTCCTTGTATGTTTCATACTCAACTAGAGTATACCCCTGGGGAAAGTGAAAAGACAGATATGAAAACCCTCCTATTTCCCCAAGCATCACTGAGTATCCTTTTCCTCAAATTCAAACACAGAAAAACCTATAAACTTTAAACAATGAATGTACATCATATATCTCTACTGTATATATTCAACATGTCTGTTTATGTCTCTTCTGTGTCTGATAAAACATGGATTTCCAATGTCATTTTATTTCAACTTTGCTCCAACTACGTCAAACACAGAACTACCAATACTAAGAGTTATGAAAGAAGAGAGGCAATGAAGTGTCACTTCATTGGATACCTTCAGATATCCTGTTCGCCTGTCGAGGTTGAGGTGAATGTTTTTAATTTCCCCATATTCTGCGAATTTGTCGTGTATATCTTCTTCAGTGGCTTCTTCGTGGACTCCAGTAACAAAGAGAATCCAGCCTTCAACAGCTGTTGGGGGACGGAGGGAAGTTGTATAAGTACATGAGAGAAACACTTCAAGCAGGCTCACAGGAATGGAGTGAGTGCGGATTTAGATTGTTTTTGTTTTTGAGATGGAGTCTTGCTCTGTCACCAGGCTGGAGTGCAGTGGCGCAATCTCTGCTCACTGAATCTCCACTTCCTGGGTTCAAGCGCTTCCCCTGCCTCAGCCTCCCAAGTAGCTGGGACTAAAGGCGTTCACTACCACGCCTGGCTAATTTTTTGTATTTTAGTAGAGACGGTGTTTCACCAGGTTGGCCAGGATGGTCTCGATCTCTTGATCTCATAATCCAGCCGCCTCAGCCTCCCAAAGTGCTGGAATTGCAGGCGTGAGCCCACTGCGCCCGGCCAGGGATTGTTTAAACTATCTTTGAATCCATTCCTACTACATTTAACTATTTTATTGGTTTCTAACTACCATAAACACGGATAACTCACAGGTTCCATTATTACTCACAGCGTTGTGGTCCGGGTTCATCGCCATCCTGCTCCACGCTGTCATAATCCTCACGCATCCGCGCTCGGGACCCCTCTTCTATAAGGGACAGACACGAGATCACCGAAACCTCCTCCTTTCTCCCATTGTTCCTATGAGTTGGGCGGGGACTCCAAAACCCGCAGCTCTACCCTACTTTGCCCACACTCACCGGAGCCAAAGCCGCGGCCCTTCCGTTTCTTCGCTTTTTCTTTTAGTTTGTGAATGCTCTCTGGAGCCCCAGAAGAGAAAAGAGTAAGTAACCATGACAGTCATTTGTAACAACTGTCTCTTTCCCAAGACACTATCTGCAATCCGACCCAAACCGCCTCCAGTCTCAGTCCCTTCCCGGTCCCGCCCCCCCTTCTCCTAAAGGGGCGGAGTCTCTATTCCACCCAAGACCCAGTTCCCCGATTCCCATCCTCACAACCGGGGACAAAAGAGAGTAAATTTTCCTATCACAGCCTTCTCTCGCACCTTCCCCGCTTCCCGCAGCCGCCTCCACTGTCCTCACCGTCCCCATCCTCATCCATGGCGAAATCTTCGCCCCCGGCCTCGTGAAGATCTAGCACGTCCGCCATCTTGCCTTCGATGGAGATCTCGTCTGTGCCGCTCAGACACTAGGCACCTCGGGAAACTGTCGCAGAGGGGAAAGGTCGCCAGTGAAGCTGACCAATCAAAGGCTAACTCTAAATCCCGCCCTTGGCGCGGTAAAAATACGCATGGGGGCGGGCCTAGTTCGGAAAGATGCCGGAAGTGTTTCTGTGGCCATCTTGAGCAGGTCGCCAGCTAAATGCTGCCATGCTGGGAGGTACAGATTGCAAGGGTCAGTTGCTTCCTCTTAGCGGCGGCAGCCGTTGAGAAATACTGTACTATTCACAGTGAGGACCGGCGTAATTTCCATATTAGAGGGCTTCATCCCAAACCGGGAAATGGCAATTGAAGAAACTTTTCTTTCAAAAATTCCAGGCCTGTACCCTGTTCCGAGGCACCGTGCTGTATGATAGGAGCGTTTTTAAAAAATAGTTTGATAGCAGTGCGGGCACAAATAGCTGCTTCTGGAACATATTGCAGCACCGAATTTCTCTTCAAGAAACTAACAGACCTGGTTGCAATACGATTGGTGAGACAGATATCAGTTTTTGTTTTTTTAACTCTCTACCTGTAATCCCAGCTACTCAGGGGGCTGAGCCAGGAGAATCGCTTGAACCCGGATGGTGGAGGTTTGCAGTGAGCCGAGATCGGGCCGCTGCACTACAGCTTGGGTGACAGAGCGAGACTCCGTCTCAAAAACAAATAAATAAAAATAAAATAAAACTCCCTTAATACTTCTGGGAATTACTCGTATTGTCTTTTAAATTATATAAATTATAGCCTTCAGCAAAATAGGGGCTTTATCTTTTTTTTCAGGATGGTACAGGTATTTCACGTTTACAAACCTCAGATTTGAAACAGTGGCCCCCCCCCCAAATTCTGGAATCCTGATGTAAACCTTAAAAAGTAGTGGACTGGATTCACTTATTTATGAATGCCTGCATGTATGTCTAATAGTAAAGGAGTTGCTGGCAATAAAAGAGCAAATAATTACATTATCAGCACTTTATGAGAGTGATAATTGCTGTCATAAAGTGCTGTGGCAGTACAACGAAAGTTTCTAGAACTGGAAGAACTTCGGGTTTCAACTGGACCTTTGAGGCTAAGTAGTTTTCCAGGCAAAGAAGCTGTATGGAGATTAGGAGACCCTTCTATGGGAAAACTGAAAGTTAAAAGTGAGAAAGAGTGCTGGATGCACTGGCTCAAGCCTGTAATCCCAGCACTCTGGGAAGCGGAGGCTGTTGGATCACCTGAGGTCAGGAGTTTGAGAGCAGCCTGGCAAACATGGTGAAACCCCATCTCTACTAAAAATACAAAAATTAACTGAAGGCATGGTGGAATGCGCCCGTAATCCCAGCTACTCGGGAGGCTGAGGCAGGAGAATCATTTGAACCCGGGGGAGGTTGCAAGCGAGCTGAGATCTCGCCACTGCACTCCAGCTTGGGTGGCAGACTGAGACTCCGTCTCCAAAAAAAAAAAAAAAAAAAAATAGAAAAAGAATAAAATGAAAAATAAAATTTAAAAAGCGATTAGGAGACACTAATGCATTTTTCACAGTAGGTAGTGTGAGTAGTGTGGTCATCTTAAAAGTCAGTGTGGTTACATACCTACTAACCAATCCCCCACCCCCACTTTTTCTTTGAGACAGAGTCTTGCTCTGTCACCCAGACTGGCGTGTAGTGGTGCAGTCTTGTCTCGCTGCAACCTCAACTTGTTGCAACCTCCGCCTCCTGGGTTCAAGGGATTCTCCTGCCTCAGCCTCCTGACTAGCTGGAAATACAGGCGCCTGCCACCACATCGGGCTAATTTTCATATTTTTAGTAGAGACGGGGTTTCACGATGTTGGCCAGGATGGTCTCGATCTCCTGACCTCATGATCTGCCCACCTCAGCCTCCCAAAGTGCTGGGATTACAGGCGTGAGCCACTGCTCTGAGCCAAAAACCCTTTTTGTTAGAGGGGTCTGAGTATATTGCCCAAGCTGGCCTGAAACTCTTGGGCACAAAGGATCCTCTGGTCTCCCAAGCAGCTGGGACTACAGGCATGTAACCCTGCACCTGGCTCTTTCCTTGGCTTTTTGGTGCACTTAGAATAAAAATTCAAACTCACACAGCCTGTTTGGCCTATGTCTTCAACCTGTTCAACCACTATTCTTCTCTGTTGCCCATTAAGCTTGCCCTACACTTTCACTCAACTATGCTGTGCTCTTTCTCATCCCAGGGCTTTTGCAACTTTTTTAAAAATTTGAGATGGAGTCTTGCTCTCTTGCCCAGACTTGAGTGCAGTGATGTGATCATGCCTCACTGCAGCCTCCGCCTCCTGGGTTCAAGCTTTCTCCTGCCTCAGCCTCCTGAGTAGCTGGGACTACAGGCGTGCACCACTACAGCTAGCTAATTTTTGTCTTTTTAATAGAGATGGGGTTTCTCCCTGTTGGTCAGGCTGGTCTTGAACTCCTGACCTCAGGTGATCTGACAGTCTCAGCCTTCCAAAGTGCTGGGATTACAGGCAGGAACCACCATGCCCACCTCTAACTTGTTTATTGTCTGTTTTTCCCATTAGAATGTAATCCTTATGGCAGAGATAGTTATTTACAACTAAAATCCCCAAAGTTTAGACCAGTGTCTGGCTCATGATAGACATTTGGTACTTACTGAATGAATGAGTATTAGAATAGCAAGAAATTCTGTCTGCCTGATGTTATGTGACTGGAAAATAAAGCTGAAAATACAGTTTAGGGTCTGCTATGCCAAGGATTTTGAAATTTATCCTATAAGCAAGAAATTTACCTACTTCAGATTTGAGTATTCATGGTTTTTAATATTTGCAAATAGTCCCCATACTAATTTTTGCTTATTTTCCCTTAGACTGACTTTAAACATAAATTTACACTGAATAAAAAAATCAATATTTTTCTATTACAAATTTAGATAAAACCATAATTATTAAAAACTGTTTGCCGGGCAGGCACGGTGGCTCACACCTGTAATCCCAGCACTTTGGGATCCCTAAGCAGGTGTATCACAAGGTCAGGGGTTCAAGACCAGACTGGCCAGCATGGTGAAACCCCGTCTCTACTGAAAAATACAAACATTAGCTGAGCATGGTGGCTTGTGACTGTAATCCCAGCTACTTGGGAGGCTGAGGTAGGAGAATTACTTGAACCAGGAGCCAGGAAGCGGAGGTTGCAGTGAGCCAAGATCGTGCCACTGCACTCTACCTGGGCTACACAGCGAGACTCCATCTCAAAAACAAAAACTGTTTGCCCATCTATCATCTAAAATAATCCCAGGAACACATATAAAACTGGTAAATGGTAGGCTGGGCATTGTAGCTCACGTCTGTAATGCCAGCGCTTTGGGAGGCCAGGGTGGGTGAATAAGTGGGTGAATAAGCTTGAGTTCAGGAGTTCAAGACCAGGCTGGGCAACATAGCAAGACCCTATCTCTACAAAAAGAAAAAATTAGTTGGGTGTGGTGGTGTGTGCAGAGTAGTCCCAGCTACTCTGAAGGTTAAGGTGGGAGGATCCCTTGAGCCTGGGGGGCGGAGTTGCAGTGAGCCAAAATCACGCCACTGCATTCTGGCCTGGCCATTACAGTGAGACCCTGTCTCAAAAAAAAAAAAAAAAAACTTTGGGAAATGCTGCTAAAGGTAAATATAGCTAAGTGATGGCTTAAGCAAGGGAGTGTCCCAGTCATAAGTATTTTATAAATAAATACGACAGTAGTAAGAATTACAATATATAAAGAAAAAAAAGATATACAACAGTAGTATGGAGGATGTTAAGATCAGAGGTGAAAACCAGCTAGGAAGCTATAGTAGTGATCCAGTCTGGAGATGAGAAAGGACCGAATCTAAACTAAGGCAGTAAATATGGACAAAACATATCAGGAGGTAGGCCAGGCGCAGTGGCTCACACCTGTAATCCCAGCACTTTGGGAGGTCAAGGCGGGCGGATCACCCGAGGTCAGGAGTTTGAGAGCAGCCTGGCCAACATGGTGAAACCCCATCTCTGCTAAAAATACAAAAATTTGCCAGCTGTGGTGTTGGGTGCCTGTAACCCCAGCTACTAGAGAGGCTGAGGCAAGAGAATCGCTTGAACCCGGGAGGTAGAGGTTGTAGTGAGC